ACACACACACACACACACACACACACACACACACACACACACACCTGCCCTGGGGCAAGGTTCAGTTCTTCCCAGGACCCTTTTCCTGTAAGTTCCCAGCTTTCCAAGATACTCAGAACCAACAGGGTCTCCAGGGACACTTTGGTCCACTTTTCTTTCTTTTTTTATTTTTATTTTTTGATTTCTTTGAGGCAGGGTCTCACTGTGTGGTTCAGGCTGCCTTTGAACTCACTCTTAGCCCAGGCGGGCCTTGAACTCCAAGATCTCCTGCTGTAACCTGTAACCGTCCACTTTTTAAAGCTCCAGGCGCCAGGCTGCAGTGCCTTCAGGTTCCTCCTGTGTCCTCCTCACCTGGCACACAGAGGTTGGCTTCCTGGCTCTGGTGCCAAACTCTGCATCCTGTGTGTCGGGACCCCTTTCAGTGGGGCAGCCAGCCTGAAAACAACACCACTGAAAAGCCCCCTGTGTCTCCATGGCACCCCAAGGAGTCAGAGGGGAGCTCTAGCCAGCAAAAATCAACACCGAATTAAATCTGGAAACTAAAAAAAAGAAAAGTGTATCCTACTCTAGGTCTACTGTTATAAATACTGACCTCCAACCCCTCTTTAATACCAGGTATGCCAACACAAAAAATTTTAGAGAAGACGTGTGTGTGACTATATATTACATCTCTTATGTGTATAATTTCTCTCCACCACCAACAAAATCTTTAGCCTCCAAAACCAAGTATTGGAAAATGTCTTCAGCCAACATTTCTTTTTCCTACACAGCTTAGATATCTTGAAGAGAAGTGTTGTAAGTTGGACAGACCCTAAATTATCCTGGGAAGCAAGAGCATATTTTTGTTTTGTGCAAAGCCACGGGACTGCTGGAATCAGACTTACTGCAAGCACATCCGGTTTCATTTATTTGTCAGTTCGGAAGTTGTCATCCACTAGAATCCTGGACTTCCGTAAAGCAAGAGTTCTCAAAGTGAGGGCGCAGTCCAGGCACCTCGCTTCAGGGTGGAAACTCGTGGCCGCCACACCCCAGACCCCCCAGACCCCAGGTGCTCCAGATGACTCTCCCCCACGGCCTCGCCCACGGCCAGGCTGACCCCAGGGAAGGCCAGGGTGTGCTCCTTCCTGCGTTCACGTGTGAGATCGGGCTGTACAGTGAGTCAGATCAGTTCCCAAACCAGCTCTGCATAAATTAAGGGGTCCCTGGATTCCTCTTTGTGGTCCAGATCTCAGAACTCTTTATACTGAAAGGATGCTGTTCTTTAATCTTATCACAAATTGGCCTTTGAGGGCCGGGGATTTAGCTCAATGGTTTTGCGCCTGCTGCACAAGAGCAAGGACCCCTGTTCCATCCCAGGTACCAAAAAAACCAAAAAAAAACCAAATTGGCCTTTGAAACGGCCAGTTTAACCAGCTCCAAACCACTCCTCAGACTTTGATTTTATTTTGTTTTATAAATGCCTTTCATTTGTGTACACAGTGTGTTATAAAAATCCTCTAATTTGTATGGATTTGGGAGAAACAGGGAAGTAAGGAAATAGATCTTATTAATTCAAACAGGATGTTTTTTAAAAGTAGAATTTTAGGGTCGGGGATTTAGCTCAGTAGCACCACCCCTGCCTTGCAAGCGCAAGATCCTGAGTTCAATCCCTGGAACCAAAAAAAACCTAGAATTTGAGCGCCCGATGTGGTGGGTCATGCCTGTAATCCTAGCACTTTGGAGGCTGAAGCAGGAAGAGCAACAGTTTGAGGCCACCCTGGGCTACATAGTGAGACTCTGTCTTGATGAATGAATGAATGATACAGATAGAATCTGATTGTTTTTCCCTGTCTGTATGGCTTCTCGCTTGTCCTGTGTGCTCCTCCCCACCCGAAGGATTAGATTCTAAATCCAGTTTTGAAATTTTACCCAGGAAAACATTAAGGCTTCAAAGAGGTGAACACCAGAAAACAAAACTTCTCCAGCACCTTCCATGTGAAATAATCCTGTTTCTTGCCTGAACTCCCAGTGTGAGGACAGGTCAGAAGCAACCCAAGGGACCACCAGTGCCCCAGACTCCAGATGACCCTGGGAAAGAGGACCCACACTCCCCATGGGGCTGGAGTGCAGGTGTGGGAGGAAAGTTGAACATATGAAAATGAATGTAAGAAATACACAATGAATAAAATAGCAGAATGTTAAATAAAGACAAGCTCTCTGTTGTTTTACTGCCCTGGGTCATGTAGTAGAGACAGGTATCTCCCTTCAGCTCCAAGTTCCAAGCCCCTCTTCGTTCCCTACCAAGTGGGTTAATGAGAGTGGCTGATCTGGAGATGGAGCTCAGGGGTAGGGCTGGTTTAGCATGAACAAGGTCCTGGGTTCAATCCCTAGCACTGCAAAAAAGAAAAGAAAGGAAAAAGCTGAGCAAACTGTATGTAGGGTTATTTGATTGTTGGTTGAAACTGGGGATAGAACCTACGGCCTCACCCTTCTTAAGCACATGGTCTACTGCTAAGCAGTACACAAAGCCCTAGTTTTGTGGGGTTTGTTATTTTTTGTTGTTGTTTATGTTTTGAGATGGGGTTTAGCTGGCCTTAACTTGCTATGTAGACCAGGTTGTCCTCAAACTCAAAATTCTCCTGTATCAGCCTCCTGAATATTGGGATTACAGGTGTGTACCCGGTCCGGTATTGCCCATTATTGTGCTCCTGTTTTTTGACTGTAGAACTTTGTTTCTGTTTGGGAGGCTATGTGGCTAAGTGCATATAGGGGCACATATTTTTCTTTGCCTCAGTTTCGCATCCAGCTGGCAAGGCTCTGGCAGCTATAGCCTGCTCTGCAGAGGCAGCAGACAGAGGGCAAAGTCACTTTTTTTCTTTCTTTTTTTTTTTTTTTTTGTACTGGGGGTCGAACTCAGGACCTTGCACTTGCGAGGCAGGCACAGCGCCCCTGAGCTAAATCCCTGGCCTGGTGTTATTTTTAACATAAATGTACATTGTAGTAACGTTAAATACATTCACATTGTTGTGCAGCCGTCACCACCACCGATATGCAGAACGTTTTCATCTTGGAAAACTGAAACTCTTTATCCATTAAATTTCACCTTGAGCTGGGCCTGGTGGCCCACGCCTGTCATGCAGTACTCAGGAGGCTGAGGCAGGAGGATCACTGTGAGTTCAGGGCCAGCCTAAACTGCTTAGCAAGACCCTGACTGAAATCCGTAAGTGAATGAGCGAATGTCCCCCTCTTGGGCCCCTGGAGGCCTCCATGTGTTTTCCAGATCTCCACTTCACCCTCTGTGGCCACCTGCCGGTGCTGTCATCCCGCTCTTGCTTTTCTGTGACTGGCGTTTGTCACTGAGCGTGATGTCCTCAGGGCTCGTCCAGATGGTAGCCTGTTTCAGACAGGCCTCCCTGTTTAAGGGCTGAGCGGAGTTCTACTCTGTGGCTAGTGCACACTCTGCCCATTCATCCTTCAGTGGACCCGGGGCTTCGTTCCCGCTTTGGCTGTTGCGGGTACAGCTGCTGCGAGCACGGGGTCAAAATCCCCTTTCAGCTCTGCTCACACCCAGCAGGGGATTCTGGGATTCTGGGCCTGACTGAGGCGCCGCTCTCCTCTGACCCCAGTGGCTGTGCCGTTTCCCGTCCCCTGCTGCAGTGCGTGGGCTTCCGGTTTATCTCCATCCTCAGCACTGTGTGCTGCTGGGGGACAGTAGCATCCCTACTGGGTGTGAGATGGTTTAGCATTAAGAGGTTTTTGTCTTTGCAGTGCTAGCACTTGAACCCAGGGCCTTCACAATGAGCTCCATCCCCAGCCCTCCCTTTTTGCAGTATGTATGTATGTATGTATGTATGTATGTATGTATGTATGTATTTATTTATTTTTTGGTACTGGGGATCGAACTCGGGACCTTGCTCTTGCACGGCAGGCGCTGGAACCACTGAGCTAAATCCCCGGCCCTTTGTAGTATTTATTTATTTATTGGTTTTCTGAGACAAGGTCTCCCTTTGTAGTTCTGGCTGCCCTTGAACTCACTGTGGAGCCCAGGCTGACCTTGAACTCATACCGACCCTCCTGCCTCAGCCTCCAGAGTGCTGGGGATCAGGCGCGCACACCAGCTGGGCTCTCTGGGGTTTGCTCAAACTCTGATCCTTACCTTCGCCTTTTCTTCCCTGTTTCCATCCCTGCTGACCCGCACTCTCTGTGCCTCGCCCAGGTGACAACATGTACAGCTGTGAGCGGTGTAAGAAGTGAGTGTGTACCCCTCAGCGTCCCAGGGTCCCCAGGGTCCCTGCCGGCCCCCCCTCCCCGGGGCGCTGACCCTGGCTCTGTCCCCAGGCTGCGGAACGGCGTGAAGTACTGCAAGGTCCTGCGGCTGCCCGAGGTGAGTGAGTGCCCGGCCCTGAGGATGGGGCTGCAGGGACCACTTCCCCGCTGCACCCCGCATCCTCCCTCTCCCGCTGCACAGCCAGGGCCAGACAGGGAGGGGACCTGGGCCGCAGGCTGTCAACGAGACCCAGGGTGTGGCTGCCCTGTGCAGGACAGACGACCGGCCGGGCCTGGTGGCGGTGGGCAGCACACTTCCTGAGGGGCAGCCCAGCTTCGGAGTCAGCGGCCGTGGTCACCTGTCTGCGCGGCGGCCTGGGCCAGCGAGCCATGACCGTGTTTCCCCAGATCCTGTGCATCCACCTGAAGCGCTTCCGGCACGAGGTGACCTACTCCTTCAAAGTCAGCAGCCACGTGTCCTTCCCCCTCGAGGGCCTCGACCTGCGCCCCTTCCTGGCCAAGGAGTGCGCATCCCAGATCACGACCTACGACCTCCTCTCCGTCATATGCCACCACGGCACGGCAGGCAGTGAGTGGCCCTGCGTCCCACCCCGGTCCCCCATCCTCCACCCCCCGCGCCCCATGACCCCGCTGTCGCGTCCACCAGGCGGGCACTACATCGCTTACTGCCAGAATGTCATCAACGGGCAGTGGTACGAGTTCGATGACCAGTACGTCACCGAGGTGCACGAGACGGTGGTGCAGAACGCCGAGGCCTACGTGCTCTTCTACAGGTGCGAGGGGCGGGGCGCGAGGGGCGGGGCGCGAGGGGCGGGGCCGGGAGGCAGCTCGCTCACGCTGCCGCTGCCCCCGCCGCCCCGCGGCAGGAAGAGCAGCGAGGAGGCCGTGCGCGAGCGGCAGCAGGTGGTGTCGCTGGCCGCCATGCGCGAGCCCGGCCTGCTGCGCTTCTACGTGTCCCGCGAGTGGCTGAACAAGTTCAACACCTTCGCGGAACCGGGGCCCATCACCAACCACACCTTCCTCTGCGCCCATGGAGGTGAGGCACCCTGTGGGGGGGGGCTGGGGCCGAGGCCGAGGCTGAGCCGAGCCGAGCCCATTCCGTCCCTGTCCCCTGTCCCGAAGGCATCCCGCCCAACAAGTACCACTACATCGATGACCTGGTGGTCATCCTGCCGCAGAACGTCTGGGAGCACCTGTACAACAGGTGAGAGCAGGGGCTGCCGGGACTGCGGGGCCCTTCCGGGGCCCAGCAGCCGGGCTGGGACAGGTGGGCAGGTGGACCCGGCAGCTGCCCGCTCCCGCTCCACCTGGCTGGCCCGGTTCTGCCGCGTGGCTCAGGTCCGAGCGGCTGCCATGGTGGGTGAGAGACCCGCAGGGATACGCGTGCTGCTGGGGACTCGAACTCTGCTCCCTCCATGCAGGTTTGGTGGTGGCCCTGCCGTGAACCACCTCTACGTGTGCTCCGTCTGCCAGGTGGAGATCGAGGCGCTGGCCAGGCGCAGGAAGGTGGAGATCGACACCTTCATCAAGGTGCGGCCAGAGTAGGGTGGGTGGGAGGGGGCTGGGCTGTCTCTGAGGTGGCCGTGGGTGGCAGGCGGAGGGAGATCAGGGTGAGCTTTGGAAAGCCAGCACGTGTTCTTTGTCTCCTTGTTCTGGTACTGGGGTTGAACCCAGGGCCTTTACGCTGAGCTGCATCCCCTGCTCTTTTTATATTTGTTTCGAGACAAGGTTTTGCTAAGTTGCTGAGTTTCCCGGGTTGGGTTTGAACTTGGGATCCTCCTGCCTCAGCCTCTTTTCTTACCTGGGGTCTGGGCTGAGGACCCTGGGGTGAAAGCCGTCCTGTGTGGTACAGGACACTTAGCTCCCGTCAGGACACTTAGCGGCTGCTGCCGCCATTCACAGGAGCTGAGCCTCTTGGAAAGCACAGCTCAGGACTGTGGCTCTGGTCAGGGCTGCAGGATGTGAGCTGCATCCCCAGAGCCAGCAGAGGAGACGGAAGGAAGAGGGAGAAGCAAGTGGCTCCCCAGGGGCACCGTGTGGGAGGGTGAGGCCATGCTCGGCCCCGCCCTGGAGCTGCTCAGGGCAGACTTGGGGACCCTGAGTCGAGTCATTTAAATTTGGGAGCCTGGTAGAAGACACTGGGGCTCTGCCTGACGGCTGTTACCCAGATCCTGTGGAGCTGGGGCTCTAGCTCAGTGGTCAGCGGCTGCTCAGCAAAATGCTGTGAGCAGCACAGTGTGTGATGGGAGCAGACAGAAATGTCCTAGTAAGTGGGGAGAGAGCATCTGCCACGTCGCCAACGTCAGGTTAAAAAGTGGTCCTTGAAAACAGCTTCGGCTGGGCATGGTGGGGCATACCTGTGAGCCCAGCATTCCAGGAGGCTGAGGCAGGAGGGTGGCAATTTTGAGCTCAGCCTAGGGGTAACTTAGCAAGACTCAAAACAGAAAGGGCTGGGAATGCAGCTCAGTGTGAGGGCCCTGGGTTTGGTCCCCATACCACAAGCCAGCAAGGGGACAGCCTCAGCAGTGGGACCTGCAGCCCGTTTGGTGCTGGCCGGGGAGCTCTGGGCTGGAGCCTGAGTGAGCTGTGGCTGTGAGTCGGCCGAGGGGAGGGAGGTAGGTGACTGGGCCACCCATCCCACAGCTGAACAAGGCCTTCCAGGCTGAGGAGTCGCCAGGCGTCATCTACTGCATCAGCATGCAGTGGTTCCGAGAATGGGAGGCCTTTGTCAAGGGCAAGGACAGCGGTGAGTGGTGAGCTGGGAGCTGGGAGCTGCGAGTGTGGGGCGGGGAGCAGAGGGCGCAGCACCTGCCCTGTCCACTCCCTGCTGACGTCCGCTCTGGGCTGCATCCCCTGCTGGGCCCCATCTGCACGAGGCAGGTCTGACGCTGTTGTCCAGCCTTTGCTGTTGTCCAGGATGGGGAGCTCCCGGGGTTCCTCCAGTCCCAGTCAGAGAGCAGCAGAGCTAGACCAGGCATGGGCTGCACAGCTAGTCCCAGGGACTCGGGAGGCTGAGGGAGGAGGATCCCAAGTTTGAGGCCAGTCTGGGCAACTTAGTCCAGGCCCTGTCCGAGACAAGATCAACAGGGCTGGGGGTATAGCGTAGTGGCAGAGTGACTGCCCCGCACACAGGAGGCCCTGGGTTCCCCAGCACTGCAAAAAAGCTGAGCCTCTGCTGGCTGTGGCCACTAGGGGCTCCCAGAGCAGCTGGGGGTGCGGGTTCCCCCTGGGGTGTGAGCCCTGGCCCTCCACCGCTGTGCGCGGACGGGGACAGTGCTGGGCATCCCTGAGCCCCCTCTGCCAGTGCACGGGCTCCAGAGCCCCCCTGGCTCGGACATGAGCTGGCCTTCCTCGGCCCTCCCAGAGCCTCCGGGGCCCATCGACAACAGCAGGATCGCACAGGTCAAGGGCAGCGGGCACGTGCAGCTGAAGCCAGGTGAGTCCAGGGAGGCCGGGTCTCTGTGAGGCACTCCCTCCCGCTGCCCTGCGCCCAGTGAGCAAACTGTCTCTGCCGCAGGGGCCGACTATGGGCAGATCTCCGAGGAGACTTGGGCCTACCTGAGCCATCTGTACGGCGGTGGCCCGGAGATTGCCATCCGGCAGAGCTCGCTGCAGCCCCCGGACCCCGAGAGCCTGCATGGCGAGCAGAAGATAGAGGCCGAGACCCGTGCTGTGTGAGGGCCAGGCCATCTGAGCACCTGCCTTCCCACGGAGGCATTCGAGGCCGGGCAGGGGTGGTAGCAAGTGGTGCCAGCCTCCCCGGGAAATGCACCCACTTCCGCTGTGGCATTGGCCAGGACGCGGGGTGCCGGTCCAGGTCTTTGTCCTGGCGGTGCCCACATCGGTCACTGCCATGTCACTGTCGTGGGCATCGGCTCCACAGCCTTCTGCTAGGTCAGGCCCGGCTCCCATCCCTGGAGCCCACTGCCGCCCCCCAGGCAGAGCCTGGTGCTGGGGACTGAGGGGCAGGAGCAGCTGCCATCCCCAGGCTGTCCCAGTGCTGGCCGCACCTGGCACCACTTGTGAGCAGAGGGGCCCTGTGGGTCCTCCTGCCTGTCACCGCCTGCAGGTGTCATCAGAGGCCCCAGCGTCCCTCCTGCTGGGCCGAGCCTGTCCTGCAGCTGCAGACCTGGGCTCCGTGGGGTTGGGCCAGGAGGGGCAGCCTCTGCATCCTGCTGGGCCTGGAAGCAGCGTCACCCAGGGACCGATCAGCTGGTGGTGTAGAAGGACCTTGTGCTTGTGGGCGGCCTGGTGCGGCTGTGTCCCTTTCCCCACCCGCCCTAGGGAGGGCACAGGCCACCTGGCCACTCACCCTGCACACGCGGGTCCCACGAAGCGTGTTGTGGCCACACGAGTGCTGGACCGCAGAGCCCAGCCAGGCTGTTTGTGGGACCTGACGGTTGGAGCTGCAGTGCCGGGACCAAGCCCCAAACCTGTGGGTGCCAGTGGGGACCGGGAGCAGTTGCCCCTGGGCCTGGTGATGTCCCCACGCCGCCACCTGTGCTGCCGCCCTGTCACCGAGCTCTGGGCCACGCTGCCCTCTGCTGCAGCTGCTGTGTGGCCTGGCTGTGTGTGCAGTGTCACAATAAACAGATGTGCCCCCACTGCCATGCGTTACCTCTGCCTGCGTCACTGCACAGCATTCTGTTCTGGGGGACAGGGAAGCTCTGCTGCGGGAAGCCCAGGCCAGGCCCAGGAGGGGCAGGGAGCAGGCCCAAGTGTCGTCTGCCTGCCCTCCTCCCTGGGGGCAGCCCGGCCCAGCAGCTAGAGGTGGTCAGGGTTGAGCCCAGCACCCCCCGCCTGGGTGCAACACAGGGCACCCCCCATCCCGTCCCTCTCCACCCTGGCTGAGAGCTGCCCTGATGGAGCCAGGCGCCTGGGAACCCTGGTGTCTCCTTGGGCTGCGGTTCTGTTGGCTTTGCTGTTACTTTGGGGGAGAGGAGAACTTGACATCTTCAAATGTTACTTTAGAAACTGTCCCTTAGCCATGCGAGGTGGTGCACACCTGTCATCCCAGGACTCCGAGGCTGAGGCAGGAGGGGGATCACTGTGGGTTCAAGGCCAGCCTGGGCTACATAACAAGACCCTGCCACAAAAAAAGAAAGAAACCAAGTAGTCCTGGAGCAGCGAGGGTGTAGCTCAGCCATGCTCTTCTGTTCCTTCCCAGCGCCTAACAACATTCACCTTGCTGTCCTGTCAGACGGCGGGGCCCAGCGACACTCAACACACAGAATAAAACAGCGGTGCCGTGGCCACCTGGGACCCCAGAGCACTGGCAGGCTGAGGCAGGACAATCTCGAGTTCCAGCCCAGGCACTGCTGTGATTTAGCAAGACCCTGTTTTATTTTTATTTGTATTTATTTTTTGGTACCGGGGATCGAACTCGGGTCCTTACACTTGCACAGCAGGCGGCGAAACCACTGAGTTAAATCCCTGGCCCAAGATCCTGTTTTAAATTTTTAAAAAGGAGCACTGGGGCTGTAGCTCAGTGGGAAGGCCCTATGTTCAATCCTGGTACTGCAAAAACAACCCTGAACACCCCCAAGTGTGAGACTGCCAGCCCCAGGTTCATAGCTTTACCAATTCCACCCCACCCCATATCCCTTGCATCTCCCGGCTTGCATTTCACTCAGCTCTCTCTCTCCCTTTCTTTTTTCATGGTATGGGGATTGAACCTGTGCCCTTTTCACTGTGAGACATTCCAAGCCCCTTGTTTTTTGGAGACAAGCTCTTGCTAAGTTGTCCAGGCTGGGCTTGAACTTTCAATCCTTCTGCCTCAGCCTCCCGAGTGCTGGGATCACAGGCATGTGCCACCACGCCGGGGTGGTGGATGATTTTCTTAGGGTCAGTTTGGTCTGGAGAATTTTCTGAGATTTGGAGCCCTGGTTTCTCGTGCAGCAGGAAGGTGGGACAGAAATAGATGTCACTGGGCCGGGGATTTAGTTCAGTGGTTCGACTGCCTGGCTCGCAAGTGCAAGGTCCTGAGTTCAATTCCTGGTACCAAAAAAAAAAAAAAGAAAAAGATGTCACCAATCAGCCTTCCAACATTTCCTGTCCCTTTTCCCTTGAACCCCCCACTTTGCGGGACTCCACAGGGGGAGAGCTGGGGTTGCAGGAAGTGCGGGGAAGCACAGGGCTGGGAGGCAGGGCAGGCCTCACCCCCTTGGGCTCTGGCAGCTCAGTGTGGACCCCCCACTCCCAGCTCCGTCCTGAGTGTCTTTTTGTTGTTTTTGTTTTGGGAGGACAAGATCTCAGAATGTGGTTCAGGCTGACCTCGAACTCACAGCGATCCTCCTGGCTCGGCCTGTGGAGAGCACATCTGAGTCTTGCTCTACCTCTTTCTGCCCCAGAGCCCCACTGGGGGAGGGGTGGCAGCTGCCTCCCTCCGAGGAGGGGAAACTTTTCCTGCAGGGAGCGTTCCTGTCGTTCGGGAGCCCTGCAAAGCCACAGTGAGTTTCTGTGCAGAGTGAGCCCTGCAGGTGTCCCCGGCCAGGGCTAGGGCGGTCCCCGTTGATGTGACCACAGCACTGGCGAGGAGAGGTGTTGGAGGGGGGCCCTCCCCAGCTGCTTCTGGGGCCTAGGGGAGAGCAAGCCTTGTGTCTGCGCAGCTGCAGGACAAGGACGCAGGGCCCTGGGCCCCCGCGCAGTCCCCAGCCTGGTCGCTCACCCGAACCCAGGGACAGAAGCGTGGGAGCGGGGCCTCAGGTCGCTCAATGCTCCTGGGGACACAGGCTGGGGTGCCCGCCGCTGCCCGTGCACCTTCCTCTGGGTCTCCAAGGGGAGCAGGGACAGCAGGCCCGGTGGAGGCCTCCCCAGGTGGGGACAGCGCCCCCTGCTCTTCCCCACCCTTGGAACGCACATCCGTGGTGGCAGCAATTCACGGGCATGGATTTCAACATTTTAAGGGCTTTTTTGTTTTAATAAAAAAATAAAAGGGCCGGGGATTTAGCTCAGTGGTTCTGCCGCCTGCCTTGCAAGCGCAAGGATCTGGGTTCAATCATTACAGGTGTGGTGGTGCACAGCTGTAATCCAGCACTTGGGAGGCTGAGGCAGGAGGATTGCTGAGTCCAAGGCCAGCCTGGACTGCATAGTGAGTTCAAGGCCAGGCTGACCCACATGGCGAGACCCTATGTAGATAAATAAGACGGGGTTGGGGGTGTTGCTTAGTGGTGAGCGCTTGCCTAGCATGTGTGAGGCCCTGGCATCCGGCAACAGGACTGTTAAAAAGGAAATGGGGCGCACCTGACCCCTCCCCGCCCCCTTCATTTAGTCCCCTGCTGGGGACACTCGGCACGCTCTGCCCTCTGCGTCCACCAGGGGCCGCCAGTGCCTGGCCCGCGAGCCTGCTCCGGCCTGGGCAGAGTGGGTGGGTGGGTGGTGGGTCCGGCTGGAATTTCCCAGTCAGGCGCTCCTGGCTGTCTGAAGCCGCGGCTTCGGGAGCCTCCCCTGGCCCGTACCCGGGCGCAGATTGTGCTCGGCCCGTGCTCCAGCCTGAGTGAGGGGCCCTAGGGAGACGCACACACCCTGTCACCGCCTGGGCCATCAGGCCAGGACGGCTGTGAGGCGCTTCCTGAATTACACCTGTGGCCAGGCCGGGTGGTGCACACCTGTGATCCCAGGACCGGAGATGGGTAAGAGTTTGAAAATATTATGAAAGTGTTAGGCAGTGGCCTGAGGTTCAGGCAGTAAAGGTCAGGGTTCACCAAAAGGCAGAACTACACTCACTTCCCCCAAGGAAGAACAGCAGTGGCCAATATCCTAAATAGGCATCAACCACCTTGGGTGGGGACCAGGACCTCCCAGCCCAGTCTGCCCCTAGTCCTCTTGGATCCAAGTAGGCTTGGAGACTCGCTTCATTTGGTCCCTGACCATAGTTTTCTCCCACCTCATACCCACTTTGTGACTTCCCATTGGATCAATGTTACCTAAGGGACCACACTTGTAATCCCATTAGTTGACTGTAGTTTTGTCCCACCTCGAACCCGCCTCACCTCCTGGCTTTGATCAATAAAACACCCTTGAGAAGTGGGGTTGGGGGAGCCCACTTGCTGGACTCCCTTCTGTCTCTCAGACAGAAGCTGTCTTTCTTCCAATAAATTCTTCCTATTCTTAACCTCCGTATTCCTAGAATTCATTCTTTGATTTTAGAGAACACGAACTTGGTGTGTCTGGGCATCTAGCAGATTGGGAGTATATTTCCCTTTTATTATTTGGATTATTTGGAGATCCTATATCATATACCCTATATCACCAGCACTCAGGAGGCTGAGGCAGGAGGATTGCTGGGAGTTTGAGGCCAAGCTTGAGTTACATAGTGAGTTCAAGGCCAGCCTGAACTACATAGCGAGATCCTGTCTCAAAAAAAAATAAAGCCCCCCCCAACCCCCCCCCCCAAGTTTGGCTCCCTAAAAGCCAGGTACAAGCACACACCTGTAATCCCTGAGGCAGGAGGGTCTCCAGTTCAAGGCCAGCCTGGGCAGTTGAGACTGTCTCAAAAGATTTGGGCCCCTGATACCAAAGGTAGCAGCTTTTGAGGACTTGGTGAGGGTTTGTTTTGTTGTTTTTGAGACAGCGCAGGCTGGACTCGAACTCTCAGTGATCCTCCTGCCTCAGCCTCAGAGTGCTGGGGACAGGGAAGTGCCACCACTCCTGGCTGAATGTGTCTCTTTGGAAGCCAGCTGCAGGCCCTTGGGCTCAGGGGCCTGGTGTGACCTCCCCTCGGCCCTCTGTGCAGGGTCTGCCCTGCCCGATGCTGTACTTCCAGGAGGGCTGTTTTCCTGAAACAGAGCGGAGACCCTTGGCAACAGAGTTGTGAGCCCCAGGAGGCAGGGGTGCATTTGTCACAGCCAGGTGTGGGCCCAGGGCTTCCACACATGGCTCCCCCTTTGAAGCCAACCTGAAACAATTCGGCGTGGCACAGAACCAGCGATGCCAACCGGGTCACCGAGATGCCTGAGCCCTTGGAACAGGTGGGCCCTGCGAACTGGAAACGCACCTGTGGCTCCACTTCCCCTAGGCAACAGGGTCCCTCAGAAGCCAGTCACTGCCAACTGAATTTGCATGCATGCCAAAAAAAATTCCTACTCATAAAGAATATTGTGGTGCATGCCTGTATTCCCAGCACTCTGGGAGGCTGATGCAGGAGGATCTCAACTTCTAGCCCAGCCTGGGCAATTTAGCAGGCACCCAGTCTTTAAAAAAAAAAAACAACCCATGGATGGAGCTCGGTGTGAAGGCCCTGGTTCAATGCTTAGTATTGGGAATAAAACAACAAAAATGCAGGCGTCTCTTCAAACCCTTGGACTGAGTCAGCCTTCAGTGGGCAGCAGTAACATTTGCAGCTCTCCAGGTCCCAAGCCTGTCGCTGGGCTTTCAATCTGTGGCCCCACGTGGACCAGAGGCCTCCCCAGCCCCAGGGCTCCCCAGTGACACCCGGCCAGCCCAGGACAAGGCTCATGGCTTTGTGATGCTAGACCGGAGGTCATGTTTTATTTACGGTCTGGAGGCTTACAGGGTTACAAGGTCAACATGAGCCTTCCAACGGAAGCACTTATTTGGTTTAATTCCGTCTCCAGAGACAAACGGGCGATTCCAGGACCTGTACAATGGTGATGTCCATGGAGACACTGCTGCACCCTGAAGCTTAGAATTCGTGCAGCACACACTCACTCGCACGCACACGCACCCATGGGCCCAACGGCAGGTTAAAGCGGAATCTCGGATCAAGACGGTTTGTGATGTTAGAAACACAAGACAGCCCGTGAGAATCACGGGACCACGGGAACTCCCTCTACGACACTGAGGTTTCGACACGCGAGGCCTCCACGCTGTGCTGGTCACAGCCCGGGGAAGCCCAGGGGCCTCCGTATTCTCATCTTGCCAAGGGAAAACTGGGGAAGGCACAAGCTCCTCTTTCGTTTTGTCTTTAAGTCATTTCTGGGCAGGTGCTCTTCGAGTGAGTCTTTCTTTTCTTGTTTGAGATGGGGGGTCTCACTGTGCGGCCCAGGCTGGCTCTGAACTGTCGGCGATCCTCCTGCCTCAGCCTCCTGAGTTCTGGATGACAGGTGTGCGGCACCACAACGGGCTTCCCATGAGTCATTCTTGCAGCATTCTAGCAGGGGTGGGGACGGCAGGCAGGACCCGGGGAGGGGTCCCTGGTGACAGAGAGCCCACAGCAGGAGTCCGAGCCAGTGGTTGCTCAGATGTCATAGGGGATCGTCCAGGCTCACTGTGCTGGGCACCGTGGGAAGCGCCGTCTCCTTCATCTGGACACAGGCAGTACAAAGGCTTACAATGGAAACCAGAGCGGGTCCCCCACGGCCTGTGGCTGGCAGACATGAGGGGGCCAGTCCATCTGTCACAGGATGACCCGGTGCACAGGGCAGCCTCTCGTAGCGACGCTGTGCAGATGCCCAGGACAGAGGAGCCCTCGGCGGAGCCACGGGGCCCCGTGGTGTCTGGACTGATGAGGGCGCGGGCTGGTGTCACAGGCGGGCAGAGGCTGCACAGGAGGGAGCGACAGGCCGTCACCGGGTCACCTCACTGCCTGAGCCGCTCCCTCCACTGCTCGCGCTTGGCACTTCTGGCTGCCATGGCCCAGGTCACCGGGCTGAGGGCTGCTGGGAAAGGCGCCACGTGGCTGCCCAGGGACAATCCCTAGCTCCACCGCAGGGACTCCTGGGCAGCCACGCCTGACTCGCTGGACCTGCCCTTGCTGTCCCCTTCAGTTTGGCTCTTGTCCCCACCCCACTCAGATTCGACCTTGGAGGACACTCAGGTGACACCTGGGTCCCCGAGCCAGCCAGGGACGGAAACGCAGCCTCAGCCAGGCCACCGGGCCAGCGCCGGTCCTCGTAGCTCACGGCACCAGGTGAAGAGGGACTGGGACACCTCGCTCCCTTGGAGTCAAACTCGGTTTATTCCCCGCGGCCTGCGGAGCCCGGGCCCGATGCAGAAGCTGGGTGACTTGGGACCTGGAGCGGCACGAGGTCTTTGGTGGTGAAGGTGCTGAGGTCCTAAAATGCTACTCTGGGTGCAGGGACAGAAGAGGCACTGTTGCTGTGCCACACTGAGCGACGCTGGGTTGGGAGGCATTGTGATCCGCAGGTCCCGAGGGGCAGGGGCCCGGGCCGGTGGACACAGGTGGGTGGCAGGGCCAGCACCAGCTGCAGGGGACTTCAGTGCGGGCCACGTGTGGGGTGGGGCCCCCAGTCCCATCCCGGGGGCTCCGGGCCGAAAGTGCAGAAGGGTCAGGTGGAGCCAAAGTTGGGATGGTCCCGATTCCTGCAGGCCCAGGGGAGGAGCCGCCCGGATGTGTGGGTGTCACAAGGTCCTCCCTGCGGATGTCAGCAGCCTGGACACCAGCGGTCACCTCATCATGAAGGCACAGTGTGAAATGTGCAGGGACCGGGTGGACACGGTGGGAACAGCGGCACCTGTCCCTCCAGGGCCCGAGGAGCATGCTGGGAGGGGAGGGGGCAAGGTGGTACGGGGACGCGGCTGCAGGCATCGTCGGGTGGCCTCAGCCAGCCAGGCAGTCTGGGCACGGCGCTGGTGGCCAGTGGAGACAGCGGGCCAGGGGTGCAGGCTCCTGGGAAGGCTCTGTCCCGGCTAGGCCTCCGCCTTTAGGAATCTAGAACACAGGAGAGAGGGAAGCTGTGGTTAGAGTAGGCAGGTAGCGGGGCGGGCACCCCAAAGTTGGTGCTCCGCCGGGGGAGGGGGGGTGTTAATAGAAAGTGGTTATTGATGGGGCAGGTCTGAGATAAGGAACTTTCACAGTTTTATTTCTGATTTATTTATTTATTTGGGGGAGGTGTTTTCTGAGACAGGGTCTCACTACGTAGTTCAGGCCGGCCTCCAACTCACTATGTCGCCTGGGCTGATCTTCACGGGTGACATCCTCCTGCTTCAGCCTCCCGAATGCTAGGATTACAGGAGTATGTCACCTCGCTTGGCTTTATTTCTGATCTTTAAGAGAGACTCCAATGAAGATGAAGCCAGCTACTCCAGCTTATTTCCCAGAGCCACCTCGCACATGCTAGGCAAGCACTACCACTGGGCTTCAGCTCGGGCCCGTTTGTTTGGTGGTACTGAGGATGAACTCAGGGCTTTTGCACTGAGCTATATCCCCAGCTCTTGTTTATTCATATTTTTATTGTTTTTAAAATTTTGAGAGCATCTCATTAAGTCTGGCTAAGTGGCCTAGGCTGGGCTCAAACTCGGGACCCTCTGAACTTTACAGAGAAAGACATGGGTTTTCCAGCACTGAAGCTCTGTCCCTTAACAGTGAAATGTGGAGTTTTTGGTGAGAAGGAGCCCTGGACCAACAGTGAAAGTTCTTCCTCGGGGAGGGGAGGGACTCGGGCCAGGGTTCGGGGAGGAAGGCAAGGATCGGGCCACGTGCGGAGGAGGAGGCAGAATTTCAAAGAGCATTTGGCTAGAAAAATCCCCCATCAAGAAAGAAGAAAGAGTTAAATATTCATATCACACAGAATAATTTTCTTGGAAAAGAGAAAAATCACTGAAATACACAACATTGAGAAAAATATAATGTTTATTAGAGAGGCAGATAGTAGGGTACAACTAGAAGATGCCAGACAGATTCTTTTCTTTTAGGAGAAGAATAGAAAGGAACAATCACGTTAGCTGTATACAAACAAAACTTACTCAGAACCCAAGTGTCTATAATGAACCCCAGGGTGGAGCAGCCAGCTGGGGCTCTAGCTGCACTGCAAGAGTCCTGGGGCCGCCCCAGCAGTTATGAAAACAAAAAGGTCATTAGGCAGCAGAATCATCCATAAAACAAACAGATAAAAGAGGAAAATGTTAAAACAACTACTTCAAGTCATCCTTTTAGTTTTTAAATTGCAGTATATACAAATATGTTCTGTGGAGAGAATTACAGACGTGTTTAACAGAAAGCAACTTAAAAAACACAAAACCCACAAAAGTCACAATGCAGTTGACCCATCGGACATTACTCTAGTCTAAATATTTTGGCAATTATTAAATAAGCACATTGTGAACAACACACACGCACACACACACACACACACACACACAAAGTGCACCGGCAGTATTAAAAATAAAACAACTGAATCCCAAAGCAGCAGCCCTGCCCAAGCCAGACAGGGCAGGTTCATGCTCGCGGTGGGGAAGGGCTCCTGGTCCACAGAATTAACCTCCGGCGTAGCTTTCAGATAAAGAAGGCTAGAAGCAGCTGTGATTTGCTCCTTACAGTTCAACAGCAAAGCACTGGGAGCAAAGGGGCGCTGGCCACATGGGTGCGGGAGCCCGACTCGCCACGCCCCGAGTGCTCTTTGACTTTCTACAGCCAGATGGGACCAGGGCCGTCAAGGTCTCTCTCGGGGTGTCAGGAGGGTGCTGATTAAACTGCTGCGGGTACTGGGGTGCGGCGTCACAATACCAGTTTCAAAGCATGATCTTGAATTTACACATCCACGCCTGCCCACCACCACAAGCCAAGCCAGCTACTTTCAAATGAAATTTGTACAACTCTAAAGGAAAAGAATAAAGGACCAAAACCCCACAATGCCACAGAGCAGGCTTTTGAAAAGTTGCCTGAGCCTACTTCAGACTTATTCAGAGGTGGCTTTGCTTTCTCCAATAGTCCATGGTCATGGAAGAGAAGGGCAGGCTTTTGTGCTCTGGGCCTGGTCACCGGCCGGTGCACACTGATCCCTGCAGTTAAAACTCAGCTGACCCAGGAACAACCTTCTTTGGCCCTGCAGTCCTGGTGATTGGACTTGGGGCTTCCTGCACTTGAGGTCAGCGCCCACCACTGAGCTACACAGCCACAGCCGCTGAATCCCCTACCTAAAAAGGAGAACATCAATACCGTGTCGGCAACAGTATTCAAAGGAAATGTGGAAGCCAGGCATGCTGGTGTACTCCTATAACCCCAGCCCTTTGGGAGGCTGAGGCAGGAGGATCCCAAATTTGAGTCCAGCTTGGGCAACTTAGTAATTTAGTGAGACCTTGTCTGAAAATAAAAAGGGCTGGGGGTGTAGCTCAGTGCAAAGCCCCCACCCAAGTGTACAAGGTCAGCATAAGCACTTAAGAGTCAGGCTGGCGAGGGTCAGCATTCTGGCTTTGCAGACAAGGGCCCACACTAAGTTGCCCAGGCTGGCAGCCTCCACTCCTGAACAGCCAGGGCACAAGTGTGCCCACCTTGCCCAGCCGGACTTCGGCTTGTGACCCTGAGCTGTCCCTGGGTGGGCAGTGGGAGGAGGGGATGCAGCATCTCATGCTGCCATCTCTGTAACCGGCCGAGTGTCTGTTATCTTTCAAAATAAAACTTCTTTAAAGAACCAGGGCATCAGTAAGTAAAGATTACTCCATCCCATCTCGGTGCTCTGTGAAACAAACACAATCGCAACTAGAATCTTGACGCACAGCAGGATGTGCCTATAACTCTTGCTGGGTTCAAGAATCTGGATAAACAGCTCTTTAATTCTACTTATTTTATTTTATTTTTTCTGAGACAGGGTTTCACTCTGTAGCCCAGGCTGGCCTTGAACTCATGGTGATCCTCCTGCCTCAGCCTCCTGAGTGCTGGGATTAAGCTGCTGCTTTTAGATTCACTTTAGGGCTGGGGATGCAGCCCAGTGGCACAGCGTCTGCTAAGCATACAGGAGGCCCTGGGTTCCACCCTCAGCATCACATTAAAAAAGAAAATCAGAGGGCTGGGGATTTAGCTCAGTGGTTTCGCTGCCTGCTGCACAAGTGCAAGAATCCGAGTTCGATCTCCAGTACCAAAAGAAAAAAAGAAAAGAAAATCAGCTTTCAGTCGACTTCAGCGCATTAAATGAGCCCACAATGTAGATGTACGGAGCTGATTTCCTACTTAAAAGCAAGACAGAAACCAATATTTGCAAAGTCAAGTAAAAAGAGGACCTTACCAGGCACTGCTATCCTGACCCCCAGAGCTGGCTCTCGGTCCCAGCTCGGGACAGTTAGGCTGGGCTCAGTGACCACCTATGCATGTGGCCAAGGCCACCTCCAAAAGCCCCTCCCCTTCGGTGCCAATTTAAAAATGCAAATCCCGACCCCACCCATATTCCTTTAAAGTGGTGAGACATTTGGTTTTATTCTGGCTATCACATAAGATGAGCCAGAAATTCTACAGTTTTCAGTAACTTTAATCTTTGGGTCTAAAAGATGCCAATGATGGAAGAAAGAAAAAAAAGAAAAGAAAGAAGGAAAGAGGGGGCGGGGGATTTAGCTCAGTGGTTCCGCCACCTGCCCCACAAGCGCAAGGTCCCGAGTTCGATCCCCGGTACCAAAAAAAAACAAAAAGAAGAGAGAAAGCGAGCGAGCGAGCGAGCGAGCAAGTGAGCTCCTTCGACAGAGGCCATGTGGAAGTTCCTATTGCAGCTTTGGGCCCTGGGTCCTATTTACAGCTCCACCTGCCACAAGCCCTGGATGAGAACAGAACCGAGTGGGAAAGTGGCTGAGGCAGCTGAGGCAGGAGGGGCCCTGCTTTCCTGGGAGCTCATCTCACTGGGCAGCTGGGCGGAGCCTGAGGGTCAGGAATATCCCTGTCAAACCAATGGCTTCCTTTTTAGTTTTTCAGTTTTTTGGAGACAGGGTCTTGCTAAGTTGCCCAGGCTGGTCTTGAACTTTCGATCCTCCTGCCTCAGCCTCCTGAGTAGCTGGGATTGAAGGTGGCCTCACCATGACGATTTCAACTGACTACTTAGCTACACTTCCCAGACTTCCTCGGGTTGTTTTCGACCCCGGGGACATAGAAGGGTAATGCCTCGTGGGTCTTCCGGAGGGAAGCACAATTACGTGGACACAGCCTGTAAGAAGGGCCCACAGAAGGGCCCTCCCTTCCTTCCTTAGGGAGAGGAGGCTGCCCCAGCCACGGCTTCCTGCCCAAGGACTAGAAACAAAACACACCAGCACGGTCCGATTTGTGACTGCACAGTGGACATCCTCTGCGGCTGCCCATGGTGGGCGCTGGACAGAACCGGGCAGCCCTCGGGCAGGGAAACAGCGTCAGCAGCCGGAGCACAGCTTTCTGGGTTCTTAGCTACAGAGGCTGCTGTGGGTCAGGTCGCGAGGCCACAGCTGTGCACGGCAGCAGGCGGCTTTCCACGTGCGTCTGGCCAGCCAGGGCCACCTGACAGCTGCCGGCCACGCGTCCTCCACGCCTCTGCTGAGGAACCACCCCGACAGTCGCGGGTGGGGAGACGCCAGTGTTTTAGGGAATGTTTCGTAAGTGATATTAAATATAAGTCTTAGCACCTTTGGGGTTTTTGTCCAAATAGACTTCGACGTACGAGGTGGGGACGTAGCCCTCCTCCTCCTCCTCGCTCCTGCGGATGCGGGTCCAACCGTCCCCTTTGTCTTCCTCGATGACAAACAAGGTTTCTCCTTCAGCCACTGAGATGGTTCCTTCATTCTGACCTGCAGGAGCAACAGCAGAATATTTTAAGACTCTCCTTGACTTACAGGTGTGGTGGTACGCATCCGTCACCCCAGCACTCGGGAGGCTGAGGCAGGAGGATCACTGAGAGTTTGGGGCCAGCCTGGGCTACACAGTGAGAGCCTGCCTCAAAATAAAAATAAGACTGGGGCTGCAGCTCAGTGTGAAGGTCCTGGGGCCAAGCCCTGGTACCGCAAAAACAAAAACCAAGCCCCAAGTTGGTGGGGTTCACCCGTCCCAGGGCCTCCAAGCCTGAGCTCTGCCAGCACCTTCCACAGCGGGCTCAGGCTGTCCTGTGGGCCTCGCTGCGGGCCCTTGGGTTAGAAGCACTGGCCTGGTATCTCTAGCAATTCCTGTTTCTGACCAACTACGGGGCTGACAGTAAATCTCCTATGTGCACCCCTGATCTCAGCACGGCTGCTTTTTTTTTTGAGACAGGATCTCACTGTGTGACCCAGGCTGGACTCGAACTGGAGGCGACTCTCCTGCCTCAGCCTCGAGTGCTGGGGATTACAGGCCTGTGCCACTGTGACTGCCTCAAAGACTTTCAAACTCCTCAGTGCTTGTCAAATACAACCCAAAGGGTCCTTTTCCTCCCGCAGCAGGTGCCTCCTGCTTCCTGTCGCAGACCCCATGGGCCCCTAAGGCCCCAGACTGCAGCTCAGGAACCTGGCTGCCCGGCCACACCAGCCTCCTCTCTGTGCCCTGGCACTCGGGGCCCTGTGTCATGCGTCTGTCACACCCTCCCGCGACAGGAGCTGTGCGGACGGGTGGAGCCGGGGCTGGCAGCTGGGCTGCTCGACCTTCGAATGTGTAGAGGGCCTTGCAGGTCCCGATGGCAGGCAGCGGCTCCTCGTCGTCGAACTCATCGTCGAAGTCCGTGGCCTGCACCTTCAGCTCGCTCTCCTGGCTCTGCTCCTCCGTGTAGCTGCCATCCGGGCTGCTCAAGACAGGAAGCCACATGGCCACTATAGCGACCGAAAGCGCCACCCTTCGCCTCCTGGGCCCTTCCCATTTGGAAAGGCGCTTCCTGCTTCCTATTACCTCTTACTCTGCTCTTGAATTTACTTACACTTTGGGTTTCTCATATAAGAGAAACCTTGCCAAATTTAATCTTCTGGGTCTGATTTGTTTCACTTAACTATGGGCTCAGGGGGCATCCGTTTCCTCTGAATCCCTCAAGCTCGTCCTTCTTTATGGCAGAGTAGTACTCCACGGTGTGTAAAGGCCTGTCTTTAACACTCGCCTGCGGATGGACACACAGGCCACTTCCAAGATCCGGCTATCATGAGCTGTGCAGATATAACCATGGGTGTGCATGGACTGCATTTAACTTTTGGGGGAGACTCCTAGAAAGAGAGTAGCTGGCTCCAGGGGAGTTTCTATTTTTAGATTTGAGGCGACTCCACCCTGATTTCCACGGTGATTCCCCCGGCAGTGTAGGAGGCCCCTCCCCCACAGCCTCCACAGCACAGCACAGGGGATCGGATCCCCCTGCCGCCCCTCCCTCCCGGAAGGGGGAGCACCCAGCCTCCGGACGGCACGGCGCGGCGCGGCCTGGCCCGGGCAGGGACTGTACCTCTCGCGGTCCTGGGCGCAGCTGCGCACGGCCGGCGGCTGCTGGCTCTCGTACATCCCGCTCTGCCTGCGCGCCTGCTCGCCTCTCCCGGGGAGGCGGCCCTCGACCTCCGCCAGCCAGGCCTGGGGACAGAAGCCACGATACTCACGCCCAGCGCCCCAAGGCGGGACGTGAGGCTGAGACCCCACACCTGGGAGGGGGCCGGGGCAGGACAGGGGCCGGGGCAGGACAGAGGCCGGGTCAGCGCTGGACACAGGGGGCCGAGGCCACTGTGTCATCCCCGCGCAGGACGGCGACAGAGCCCTCTTCACCCCAGGCCCGTGATGAGACAGGGAGCCCCAGCTGTGCTGTACCCCGGGCCGCGGGGCTGCCTGCCCTGGGTAAGTCACTTCCGGTCCCCAAGTTCCATGGCCAGAAGTCACCCTGGAAACCTGAGGCCCTGTTCCCTCCCTCCCTGCTTCCTCAGTGGCACTGGGGTCGAGCCCAGGGCCTTTGCACTAAGCTACATCCTCAGGTCCCCTTTCTAACTTTGTAAAATTCTGAGACTCCCTAAGGCACTAAGTTTCAGAGGCTGGGCTTGAATTTGGGATCCTCCTGCCTCAGCCTCCGAAGTGCTGGGATCACAGGCGTGCACCACCCTGCTGGTCTCTCCCAGTGAAGGAGCCATGAATGATCTCCCCGGTGCGCGCTGGCATGACACCCACCCCGCGCTGTCCCTGCTGCTCAGGCCACTGTCCCATACCTCGAACTTCTGCACCTCGAGCCGCAGCCTCTCCGCATTCTGGCTGACCTCCGCGAGCTTGTGGTCCAGGCTGGCCGGGTCCCCCATCTGAGGGTTCTTCAGGTAGACGTCCTTCATTTTGGTTATGGCGTCTCTGAAGAAAAAAAAAAAAAAAAAATCAGCAAGACCGGAAGTGGGAGGAGAGCACTGAGTGTGGCTGTGGAGGGGATGAGGGGCTGCTCCCCGCTCCCTCCCTGCAGGAGCTGTGTTCCCAGGCCTGTAACAGCCTCGGCTGGCTTTTACATTTCAGTTGCCCTTTCCGCTTCTTTTTTCAAAACTGTTATTCATTTAGACTTTTTTGAGAGAGGCTGGCCTTGAACTTACAGCAATCCTCCTGCCTCAGCTTCCCAGTGCTGGGATGACAAACAGGGATGTACCATTGTACCCAGACCAGCAGGAAGATCTTGAACCCAAAGCTAGGATGTGGGCAAAGGCGAGAGTGGGAGTCATGCCAGCTTCCCTCATTTAGCCGGTGTGGTCATCCCAGCACTCAGGAGGCTGAAGCAGGAGGATCACTGCAAGTCCGAGGCCAGCCTGGGGAACATAGTGAGTTCATGGCCAGCCTGAGCTACACAGTGAGATCCTGTCTCCAAAACCAAAACCAAGCAAGTTTCTCTCATTCATACAAAATAACTCACGTATTCATTCATAAGAGAGCCCGAGAACAGAGGCCCAGGGTGGGGGACTTGCCTCCTATGAGGCCCCAGGTTCTACCCAGCCCCACTGAGGGAGAGCATGAGAAAGACAGACAGACAGCTGTACACGATTTGCTGCTGAACTCTGGACAAAGCCTCCCGACCCAAGGACCTCACAGACCTGGCCACAGCAGCCTGGAAGGCTGGACAGAGGGCAGCCAAACCGAAGCTCCCAGGCCCAGGGAGGGCCTCCTGCTCCCCAGCCTCCCTGGGCCACCCTACCTCTGATCCATCTCCTTCTGAATCTCCTTGTTCAGTTCGTCCACCTTCTGCTGCAGCTTCTTCCTTCTCTGTTCGGGTGGGAGGTTGCTGAAGTCCTCAGGCGTGGCCCCCTGCGAGGGGGGCAGCAGGGGGATCAGGGGGAGGGGACCCAGTAGCACTGTGGACCAGGCCCGTTGTGACCAGAGCAATGCATGCAGAACCGTGGGCCCCACGCCAGCCCAGCCCGCCTGTGGCTCCAAGGGGAGGAAAGAGAGGAACCACTCCCATCCCTGGAGAGCCCGAAGCCCCCGGGTGCATTTGCCTTCCAGTTCCCAGGCCTTCCCAGTCTTTTCCTTAATAGAAACCAGGGACGCGTCCTGCCCCAAATACTCCACATCCAAACTGCTGTTTTCTTTCTATCTTCTGAGACAGGGTCTTGCTGTGCACCCCAGGCTGGCCTCGAACTCACGGCAATCCTCCTGTCTCAGCATCCTGGGATGACAGGCGTGCACCACCACACCTGGCTGAATCTGCTTTCTTTATTCCTACCCTGAGTATTCCTTTCCCTCTCTTCACACAAGGCCAGGCCAAAAGCTTCTGTCCCTGGGCAGAGACAGATGGGTCATGGTGTTCCTCAGGGAGCATGGGTGAAAAGGACAATTCCTCCCCGCCCTGTGAGCTCTGCCCTCTCCTGCCACTAAGGCCGGTCACTGCTTTTGGGACCTTAGGGTTGTCTCAGAGCAGTCCGAGAGAATGTCCACCCTAACCTTGCACTCAGCTCTTCACAGTAGAGGAAATCAACCTCGCTGTTTTGAATCTGCCAGAAGTATATTTTAGGCCAAGTGTGGTGGTGCACACCTGTCATCCCAGAACTGGGGAGGCTGAGGCAGGAGGGTCACTGTGAGTTCGAGGTCAGCCCGAGCTACACAGTGAGCCCATCCTAAAAAAACAAAACAAAAACAAAACGCCCTAATTGCTGGATTTCCTCCGTGGTGGGCTTTCTGTAGCAAATACCAGCCAGGAGCCTCTAGGCCTTCTGGCTCTTTGCTGCTTAGAAAGCTCTCAAGCACTTTTACTTAAGCCTGGCTTCTCTGTGAAGAAAATGTATTCAAGTAGCCTAGGATAAGCCAGGGAATTAAGAAAAGAGATTTTCTTTAAAAACCTTGATTCTTTTAAAACAAGGGCAAGACTGGCTTGGGGGTGGGTGTCCGGGACAATGGGATTCCAGAAGGGGGCTGCAAGGCTGAGCAGCTGACGGGGGCCTGTGACTGGGCTCTGGCTGATTACAGTGAAGGCAGTGGCCGGGCTGGAATGTGTGAGTCAGCAAATGTCATCAGCAAGGCCTTGTGGAGACCCTGTTCCTCCTCTCAGCGCGCTCAGAGGCCAGCGGGGTGTGCGTGCGTGCCTGTGCATGTGTGTGTGTGTGTGTGTGTGCGCGCGCATGTGTGCGTGTAGGCGGAGAGATAAGATTTGAGTGAAACCAGAGAGGAAGTGACAGTTTGCAGGGAGCTTGGTCTCCAAAATGAACAAGAAGCAAACATCATCTTGAACATAAAAAGACATGACTTGGTTTTTAACTCTGTACACGACAGGGTTTGGAATATTTGAAACCTTAATTACTATTTGCCTTTCGATTTGTTCAATGTAAACACTTAGCTTGAAAGAAAAGGCTTTGTGTTCACACTGGAAATTATTTAAAAGCAGATCAGTGTGTTTTCCAAAATTTGGAGTATTTGGTTTTTTAAAAGCTGGAATGTGCTGGACGTGATGGTGCACACCTGTCATCCCAGCACTGGGGAGGCTGAGGCAGGAGGACTGCTGTGAGTTCAAAGCCAGCCTGCGCTACATAGGGAGACCCTGTCTCAAGAAAACAAAAAACAAAACAAAACAAAAAGAAGTCAGTACTAAGCTGAGTGATCCTCCTGCCTCCAGCCTCCCATGTGCTGGGATGACGAGCGGGCACCACCACGCCTGGCTCACACACACACACACACACACACACACACGCACACATGCACACGCACACCTGCACACATGAAAGTCACCACCATGTACTATCCCGAGCATTGGCGGCAGCTGAGGATGTTCGTGGCTGTGGCACTTGAGGGATGCAGAGTTAGGGGTTATGTGGGTTAAGTTTCTTTTAATAAATTTAATGATTAGTTTGGCTGTTCACTAGCACTACACAGTGAAGACAGGGCCTAAGTAGCTGACTCTAAGAAGGCTCGGGAGGGTCCTCCACGTCCCTAAAACCAACCAGGTTGCGTCCACCGGGAGCATTCAGGGTCTCCTCTCTCTGCTACCACTCAGCCCGCTACAATCCCCGAGTCTCTACTTCCTTCTATGGTTCCCAGAGAGGAGCATTTTCCAACTATTACATTTACTTTTATTCAAAATGATCCAATAAACACTATCCAGTTTTTAATATTTACGTTCCAATTTATAGAGATAGCTTATCACCATCTGTCACCCTCTCTTCTTTCTTTCTCTGGTTTTTTGAGACAGGGTCTCACTATGTAGCCCAGGCTGGCTTCGAACTCATGGTGATCCTCCTGCCTCGGCCTCCAAGGGCTGGGATTGCAGGCATACGCCACTACGCCTGGCTGTCACCCTCTTAAGTCCCCCAAATAAAGAAAACCAGGTCATGGTTAAGCATTAATTTTCTTAGCAATCTGAAAGGATTAGGACAGTCTATTAGCTGCAGGCCATTCACCCCACGGTCCAGTGGACGCCAAGCAAAGCCTCGGGAGATGCGTGCGCGGTTAATTGGGAGGCCAGGTAGCTCGTGGCCGAGCACAGCACCCAGAAGACCCACAGCGGGGCCCATTAGGTTTGGGACATGCGTGGTCGTCGTGCTTACCAGCTTGAGAGAGAGCTTCGGTAAAAACGGAAGCGGTAACAGGCAAGAGGGAGCCAGAGGGGGAAAGAGAGAGAAAAAACACATCAGAAGAGAAGACAGGCAGCTGGGCCAGTGCTCGCATGACACACAGCTTCCCTACCCGGGCGACCTGGGCGGATCTGTGCGGAAGTCCCCACGAGGGCCACCGCAGGCCACTCTCCAGCAGGGTGCGTGGGGTCCGCGGGTCGTGGCCACCAGAGGATGCTTGCAGTGGCTGCTGCGTGCTGAACAGAGCAGGATTCCCAGCCACCTCTGGTTCACTGGGCTTCTCCAGAAAGTTTCATGGATGTTTCTAAGCAAACACCAGTTACTTCTACATCCTGCACGTCATATTTGTGTCTCGAGGGGCTCCAGTAAACAGGGACCCTGGGATTTCTTAAGGACACTGAGAGGCCTCTGAAGTTGCTGAGTGGACAAGTAAGGACTAGATGTCGCTTGAAGGAATGACCTAGCCAGGCGTGGCACAGCTCTCCTGGAATCCCTGCACACTGGGAGGCTGAGGCAGGAGGATCTCAAATTTGAGCCCAGACTGTCTCAAAATGAAAAAAATAAGAAACACTAGAGGGGCCAGGGATTTAGGCTCAGTGGTTCTGTCGCCTGCCTTGCAAGTGCAAGGTCCCGAGTTTGATCCCCAGCACCAAAAAAAAAAAAAGCCACTGGGGATGTAGCTCAGTGCAAACACCCCGGGCTCAGTCCCCAACACCCACGCGCCTGTCCTGCCTGGGTCCTGGCCCGGTGCAGTGGTGTCTCCGTGCCTGTTGGTCTCCAGTCCTTGGCCATGGGGGCCACTCAGATCTGGAGAACCGCTAGGGCAGCTGCTCTGGAAAGTCACCTTCAGGAAACTGGGGTCACTGGGTCACTGGCCGCGGCCCTCGCTGCGGCACCTGACATTACGGGGATGCAGCGGTGATCACCAGACCCAAGATGGGACTTGCAGACAGGGACAGCTGGTTAAAGAAGGAACCACTACGTTCCGCATGGAAGCAGCACCCGAGAGCTCAGCGCCTGCTGTTTGCCCAGCCGAGGCCAGTCCTGCGTGCCCAGGGCCTGGTCCCGAGATCCAGATACCCAAGAAAGTGCCCTGTGATTTAACTTAATTTTTTTGAGACAGGGTAGCAGTAGTAGTAGCTGTGTAGTTCAGGCTGCCCTTGAACTCATGATGATCCTCCTGCCTCAGCCTCCCAAGTGCTGGGATGACAGGTATGCGCCACCATGCTGGGCTTTTTTTTTTTTACGGAGAAGTTTATTTTGGCTCATGTTTTAGTTTTATAACCTGTTAAAGAACTTGTCCCTATGAGGAAAAAAAAAGATTTTTAAAGACAGCAGTGCTAAACAGCTTTTTGGGGAGAGGTGCCAGTCCCAATGTGGCTGCCCCACCCCAGCCTGAGCCTCCTGGGCACCTGGGCACAGATCCGCGGTCACAGGTGCAGCCGGACGCAGGCGCAGACGACACGGAGGCAGCAGGACACGTCCCACGCATCTCCCACCCAGCAGCCCGCTGTGCCCCCAGCACTGCCCATCCAGGGCTGGCTCCGAACCGATGCGCTCCTGCTTCTGCCCCGGGCCCTTCCACCCCTGAAGTGACACATTCTTTCTGAAGTCTCCAAGAAACTAACTTCTAGCATCCCAAACTACAGCATGGGAAGATGCCCAGTTCATAATAAAGGCGAATCCTTAGGCTTGTCCCACGGAAGTAGGAAATACCAGGCGCTGAAATTCCATTTTCCAGAGGGGACAAGTGAGGACCACCCAGACAAAGCAGCATTTGGTGTGAGGAGTGTGGAATTCTCTTTTGGTTTTTTTGAGACAGGGCTTGCTATGTAGTCCAGGCTGGCCTCAAACTTGCAATGACCTTCCTGCCTCAGCCTCCTGAGTGCTGGGATCACAGGCAGGTACCACGCCCAGCTTGTGGAATGATTTTTAAAATTATAAACTGGTTCTTGATCTGATGCCATAAGCCAGCCAATGAGATAATTTAAGATTAGAAAGCTACTCATCGGCTAGGAGAGTAATCATAAAGTCTCATTACGTGCATTGCCCGATGGTGAACAACCAGAAGCTGTCAGTTTCAGGAGACAGAGCCTCAGCCAGAAGCATCAATAACACATGCGAGATGCGAGACACGGCCAGCGGGACATGTGTTATTGGACAGTCACAGGGACTAACCTCACGTGCAGAGAAAGGGGACACTGGCCAGTGGCACACAGCAGTGGCCCAAATCACTTTCTACTCTGCCTCCCCACGTGACACTCAGTTTTGTCTCGTCCTCAGGCGCCACGGCCACAACCCTCCTGATCCACCTGTCACAAATGTGGCTCTCTGGGCCGATAACTGTCCCCTGCAAGAGCACTGTGTCCCAAGACCATGCTCTGCGGCTGCGTTTCATGGTGAAATTCTGCCACAGGATCGTACCCAGCGACATTTCATCGATGTCACAATCCCTTTAAAGGTCTCCCCAGAACTAGACTGAAAAGGAGGGGACCTGCGGGAGGTGTCTCAGCCTCCTGACAGCGCTGGGATATGGGAGGATTATTATGCAGCATGGTCTCCTTTGCCATGCAAGTTCCAAACATGAAGTGGCCATTGAATATTTTATTTTTGGTTTTTGAGACAGTGTCTCGGTATGTAGCCCAGGCTGGCCGTGAACTCCTGGTGATCCTCCTGCCTCAGCCTCCCAGGTGCTGGGATCACAGGTGTGTGCCACCACACCTGAAGGCCACTGAATTTATATGGTGAGATTTCCCCGGATCCTGGTCTCCACTGAGAGCGCCACCTGGAGGTGTGTAGAGGTGCTATGGCTGCGAGGTCCCCAGTCTTGGCGCTGGCGATGGGGTTAGTGGCTGTGCCGTTGACTGTGAGCTACGACACAGGGACACTTACAACATAGGCCCTCGCCTCAAAGGCATAGGTGGGCATCCCTAGTGTCCTCTTCATGAGTTCTTTGTGAAAACGGTAAGACTGAGTCTGCCAATAATCAGCAAGAGAATAGGGTAAAATACATGCAAATAAAGTCACCTGTGTAAGCCTGTGACACCTGACAGACTCCGACATGGAGTCCCAGCATCTTTGCTCAATTCTGATATTATTTTTGCATACAGTTAACTCTGAAATATTGGTGAGGTCCAGATTTTACATGCAGGGGTACCTTGCACAGGTCAGGAAAAGAAAACTCACGGAAGACAACAGCATTACACTTTGGGAATGCAAATTGAGGACACCCTGTTTAGCTTCATTTTCTCTGACTTTCTGATTTTCGGAGATGACGTCTCCCTACATAGCCCGGGCAGGCCTTGAGCTTCTGGCGATCCTCCTGCCTTAGCCTCCACAATGCTGAGATTACAGGTGCATGCTACCACACCCGGGCATTTTTCTTTGACTTGTGAAACATGAAATAACACTGAAAGGGCTCCTGGCATACCAATCTTTAAAGATGCCCGGAAAAAGGAAATTTTCTGGCAAATGTCAGTGGCTTACAATGAAAAATATTTTCTCCTGTTTAATTATTTGGAAAAGAAATCAGTTGTGCTAAGAGATGTTTGGTTGGATTTCTACTCAGATAAGTGAAACACATTTCATTTGTTGCAAAACACGATAAATTAAAAGACATATTAGAGTCACAGAGTTGCTATTCTCCTAGGATACTTTTCCTTTTCCTTTTTTTTTTTTGGTACTGGAAATTGAACTCGGGACCTTGTGCTTGTGAGGCAGGCAGTGGAACCACTGAGCTAAATCCCCAGCCCCCCCCATACTTTTTTTAACTAAATTATCTTTGGTATAACAGTCTCAAGTGAAAAAGAAGAAATGAAATGCTAACAAAGGCTACATCATTTTAGCCATGGAGCTTGTAAGCCAAGCACCTTCTATGCTGAGATTAAAATCGAATCTTTTCCCTCAAACTTTAGATTCAGTTTTTAAAACTTTTTTCTTCTTAGTATTTCCTTTTTTCAAAGACAGGTCTCGCTATGTAGTCCAGGGTGGCCTTGAACTCAGGGCATCCTCCTGCCTCAGCCTCCCCAGTGCTGGGATCACAGGTGTGTGACATCACGCCCAGCTTCCTTTTTTTCCTTTTCTTTTGTTTCCTTTTCTGCTTTTGCACTGCTTCTTCTTAGGGAAGGAATATTGGATCTGACCCTACGAACAGACTGACCAAAAATAAGAGAAGCACAACTATTTCTGTATTCATTACTAATGCTTCTAATGTATACAAACGTGTGCTTTGCCCTCAGGAAAACACTTACCATTGAGGACATTTGTTTAAAAAACAAATTTGCTGAGCACAGAAAATAAGGAATAAAAAATAAAATTCATTTTGCTGATGGTAAAAAAGGATTTTCCTTTAAAGTCATCAAAATAACCCATTTCCTGTTTGTTCTTCTTGCCATCCTTTTCTTATACTTACTGAACACTGATGTTCTTTAATCTTTTCCTAAACATTTAGAGAAGTCCATGAAACACAGATTCAGAAACCATTTGCAACCAACAGACCGCGATGTGGACAGAAGCGTGGGGCAGATACATGGATGGATGCCAGTGATCACCTGTGTCCAACATATCCCGTCATGCAGACAACTGCAGATCCATTTAGTATAGATACAATAGAAGAAAACTTGGTGAAGGTGCTGGCGGTGATGTGTTAGCTGGCTCGCAGCTAATATAACACTTTATGGCCTGGCTCGCCCTGGTCATGTGTCGGAAATTCTCTGGGGAATGAATGGACTTCTAAAAGCCAGCAAAATCCAGCCAGAAAACTGCAGATTCCTCAGCCAGGCCGGGTAATAGAACTCAGCACAATCCATGACCCACTTCTGAAGCTGTATTCTGCCTTCTAACAATGGCTCTCTGGATCTTTAGGAAATTACATGTCCAATTTTTTTTTTTTTTTTTTTTTTGTGGTACTGGGGATCAAACCCGGGTCCTTGCACTTGTGAGGCAGGCGGCAGAACCACTGAGCTAAATCCCCAGCACACTTTCAATTCTTAACCTGATGTTCTGGGTTGCACAACATGAGATCATTTCCCAAATGTATTCTTTGCATAAAACTTTTAGATTCTCTTCTAAGAGGAATTGTACCTATGAAGAAATGCTGTTTCTGTCCCTTACTTTAACGGGTATTGACATAGTTATCTTGACTTTTCTTTTGGTACTGGGGATCAAACTTGGGACCTTGCGCATGCAAGGCAGGCAGCGGAACCACTGAGCTAAATCCCTGGCCCGTGACCTAGTTATCAATGATATATATTTACCTTCTTTTTGAGCTGGAGAACTTTTTGTAGACTTAAAGAATTATGATTGCCAGGTTAACAACTACTGTTATTCTCTACAGAACTGTACCGTAACTCACCGAGGACAGAATAAAAGCCAAACAAAATCTTGCTGGATCTGTTAATGCTCTAAATCATCTGTTTAGAGGTTTCTCACCACAAAAGATTTCCATTTTAAAGCTATCCCGGGAAGTCCTGGATTAGACCAACCATTTAGTAGTATTCAGAGGCTACAGATTCCTTCGTTCTGATCTTCTTCTCTAAGCCAGACTGGTGTCTACATCTCACACGGTGCCTCACAGACACACCATCAAATGACAGAGCTCCACAGCAGCTGCTCTGAATCAGCCGGACCCGGTGATTTCCCTGACCTGGGGGCTACAGCAATGAAGACCCCACTCGAAGACTCTGGTTTCTACCCAGGAATCACCATCTTCCCAACTTCATCTTTCTATGGCCCAGTTTCTTTAGGAGTAAAATATGGAGAAGTGAGCAACCAGGCTTCACAGTGTGACTGTAAAAAGCCACAGAACTTAGCTCTGTGGTGAGTGGCAGTGCTAATGTGATTCCATCCTCTAAAACAATATAGGTCGTGCATCCCTGAACAGAAGTGCTTGGGGCGACAAGTGTTTCAGACCAGATTCTGGAATATCTGTGTCCCTGTAATGAGACACAGGGGAGGAGCCAGGTCTAGACATGAGGTTCATTTACATTTCATGCACTTTACACACAATCTGAGGGCAACTGTACATGATGTCTGTTGTGTCCTTGCTTATGGATCTTAAAACCCAGAGCCCTGGGCATGCAAGGCAAGTGTTAGCACTGAGCTACACCCCTCACCCCTGCATTTGTGGCTTTGTTTTGTTTTGGTACCGGAAATTGAACTCAGGGCCTCATACTTGCCAGACAAGGCACTTACACCACTGAGCTACATCCCCAGCCCTGGTTTGGTTTTTTGAGACAGGGTTTTGCAATATAGTCCAGGTTGGCCTTGAACTTCCAGCGATCCTCCTGCTTCAGCCTCACAAGTGGTGGGATTATAGGTGTGCACCCCTACGCCTGGCTATGTTTGTGCTTTGCCTGTGACCTGTCTCCTGAGCTCGGCTGCGGAATTTCCCACCTGCAGTGTCGTGTCGACCCTCGCAAGGCTACAGAGTCTGGAGCATTTCGGACTTCTGATTTCTGTACCAGGGCTGCTCACCCGGCACGGGGCGAGGCCTCTTTTACCAGCATCCCAGAGCCTCACTGCAGGGGCTCCCGAAAGCCTGTGGCAGGCCAGTTCCCCTCTGAGCCCAGGTTACAGCCTAGGGTACAGTTCTGAGGGAAGTGCTGGCCTTAAGTTATGCTCACACCACTTCAGAATTAGTAAGCAAACCTCTTCTGACTGTGCAGTCCTTCCCGATTCCTCATCTCCCGCTTACTTAGCTTTAGAAACTGAATCTGTGTTTCCTTTTTTGGTGAAATCAAGGTGAACACTTAGCAGCTTTATGGGGAAGTAAAGAACAGCCTTTCAGCACGACCCAGAGAGAAGCAGCCAAGCTGGCTTTTACTTTTCTTCCATTGGCCCCCTGGTTCCCTCTCTGTTTTTTCTTTTTTGAGACAGGGTCTCGGTTATGTAGCTCAGGCTGGCCTTGAACTCACTGTGTAGCCCAGGCTGGCCACAAGCTTGCAGCGATCCTCCTGCCTCAGCCTCCTGAGTGCTAGGATGGGGGGCATGGCCCACCACACCCAGCTACTTTCTTCCTTCTTCCTCCCTCCATCTTTCTTCCTTTCCAGCTATAATGACTCTTAGGTTTTCCTTTCTTTCCCTTTTTTGATGTCACAGGAAAACAATGGACCCGTTCACACACAAAGCAAGTTAGCAGAACAAGAAAGGAGGGACGCGCGTGCGCAGAGACAGACTCCGGGCAGCACTTACCCCGCGCTTTAGGCTCCTGAAGCAGTGCATTTTGGGTTTGGAGTTCATGAACTCGTTGAAGCGATGGGAGAGGGGCTCCTTTGGCTGCTTGGGAGACTGAGGGCCGTTGGGAACAGCAGAGGGTGAGGCGGAGGCGGGGGGTGGAGGAGGGGGCTGATGGGGGGACGTTAAAAGGGACATAAGCTACGTGTGAGATGAGCAGTGACAGAGTAAACCAGAAACAAGAAGACACAAAACAAAAATAAGCATCAAATCATATTGGAAATACAAAGCAAGTAAAACACAAACCATTAAATATTTAGGCCATGGTCCAAAGGAAAGCGTGGAGCACATGTTGATGGAGGACGGGACGAGAGGGAGAGGGTTAGTGAGTTTCGCAACAGAGGAGGACTCATGCGACGTCCACAAGCCAACTACCGCTCCGTTAGTCACTCTACACCGCACTAAGCCAGAGGGTCAGGGTCTCCACCTCCTGCGCTAGCGGAGCGATGGGAGAAAACAGAGACCTTAGTGCCAGGCCGTCTCTCAGGGGAACCTGCAGCCACCATGAGGTTAGAGCACAGGGTCGCCTCAGCCTGCACTACAGCACCAGGTTAGGGCCACCATGCACTGCGCCCCGCGCTGAGCGAGGGAAGCACCAGTCCCGTCTGTGCTAATGTGAGTTCCAAATCGAGCTGTCAGCCACAGCAGCAAGCTGATGGGTTGTTATGGAAATGGGGCGCTGCCCCTCGCCCAGCCAGGGGGACCCGGGGTGAAAGAGGGGTGCGACCTGTTAGTGGGGTGGCAGGGCAGTGAGCATGGCCTCAAACAAGACCAGGCCGTGCGCTGACCGCTCGCCCATTCTGAAACCACAGGTTTGAGCCCTCAGGTACCCTTAAGACTGAAAGATGAAGTTAAAATCTCCACACTATCAGACTCGGCCTGTGCTGGGTCCGAACCATCAGTACCTTGTTCTTCTTGATGAATGGCCACAGCTTCCCTTTGGATTTGCCGCCGAACTTGAGCTCCGCCTTGCCGTCCGCCCGGGGCGTGGAGAGGCTGTTGTTGGACACGGTGCGCTTCAGGGGCTGCGTGTAGTCCTCAAATTCGATGTCGCCGGGAGGCTCGAATCCCGACTTGTACGCTTCTATCACCAGCTGTGAATCCTGCGATGACGCCCACAGACACAGGTGCCTTCAGTGGATCCAAGAGCTTTTTCTTTTTTCCCTTCTGGTACTGGGGATTGATCCCAGGGAGTGCCAGGCTATATCCTCACCTCTGTTTAGTTTTAATTTTCAGACACAGTTTTGTTAAAAAGTCCTCAAACTTGAGATCCTCCTGCCTCAGCCTCCCAAGTAGCTGGGATTACAGGGCACCCTATCTATGCAAATACTTTTTACAATAAATTATGGTGACCTCATACAGACGCTATTCTAAGAAAATTATATTGATGTTTTTTCTAGCAACATGTTTATCACTAGAATGAATAAATACAACTCATAAAGGTCTGTCTCTAGTTGAGATTTGAAGGTATTTTCAATAGCCATTTTTCTACTTTTGGAGAAACAAATATTTATTTAAAAAGCTAGTTTGGCTGGGCATGGTAGTGTACGCCTGTGATCTCAGCACTTGGGAGGCTGAGGCAAGAAGATTGCGGCAAGTTCCAGGCCACCCTGAACTACACAGTGAGACCCTGTTTCACAAAACCCAAAGCAGGGGCTGGGGATTTAGCTCAGTGGTTCTGCCACCTGCCTCGAAAGCACAAGGTCCTGAGTTCGATCCCCAGTACCCAAAACAAAACAAAACAGAAAAAACAAACCCAAAACAACAACGAAAGACAAAAGCTTAGTGTGTTAAAAGCAGGTTAAAAAAAAAAAATCAAGGGCCCGTGTCTAGGCAGTTCCCATGAAATGTATCGCAATACACATATCTGGCTTCCCTTATAAGTCTTTCCTTTTGTTTTATTTGAGACAGGATCACGCGACGTAGCCCAGGCTGGACCGGAACTCACGGTGATCCTCCTGCCTCAGCCTCCAGGATGCACCGCCACGCCCTGCACTAGCTCACTTGACAGGGTCCCCCGGTGTCTCTGGCCCTCTGGTCTCCATGCGGCTGCACAGGGCGATGAGCTCGAGGCTCCGAGGTTACCCAGGCTGCCCTCGGGGTCCTAGGGTGGGACCTGGGGGTGGGGCACGGGGAAGTCTGCAGGGACGGGCGGGCAGGCGGGGAGCAGGGGCCCAAGGCCCGCAGGCCCGACAGGCACAGGGCAGGCCGGCGGCGGGGCCACCACCAGGCGGGCAGGTGGGAGGGGCAGTGCTTCCAATGGGATGCGGGATGATGACACAGCGGGGCCTGGGGGGGCACACGTCACCCTGCACTCGGGAGGCTGAAGCAGGAGGATGGCTGCGGGCGCAAGGCTGGACCCTGTCTCTCACACACAGACACAAACACGCACATGCACGTGCGCCTGCGCTTGTGACCCCAGCCGGCAGCCACCCCTGCGAGGGTACTCACGCTTTTCTGGTCGATGGCCTGGGCCGCAGCCACAATGCCATCCAGGCACTTCCCAAGGATGGGGATCACCTGCCGGTCCACCTCGGCGTAGGTCTTCATGCTCTCGCCAATCCTCACGATGCGCCGCTCCTCCATCTCTTGGATTTTCTGCCGCATCAGATTTCGTGTAAGGTAAATGGCACAGCTGCTTAAGGCAGGGGCTTGGGGGGGCACTGTTACGGCATTGCGGGCTGGGCTGTGCACACCTTCTCTGAGCACTGGGCTGCCCCAGTGCTGGCCATGCACAATTTTGTTTATTTGGTTTTTTGAGACAGGCTCTCACTGTCTCAGGCTGGCCTCAAACTCACAGGGTTTTGCCTGCCTCAGCCTCTCCAGTGCTGGGATTACAGATGTGCGGCACCACGCCTGGCTCGGTTTCTCTCTTCTAGTCTCTCTTTCTCTGTGCTGGGGACCAAACTCCAGGCCTGGACCACGCTAGGCAAGTGCTCTATCACTGAGTTCTGCCCCCAGGTCCCCTCATAGCATTTTTGACAAACTAAAGTAGCTAAAAGAAAACAATGCAAACGAAAGAACAGCCATTTGTTCAAAGTCTACAGCTGCATGAATGCTGCTTTGTCTCCTAAAGCGAAGCTGACATTTTTGTGGCCAGAATGGCCCTTTTAGCCCTTTTAGCGAAGAGAACAGAAATCTAAGAGTCACAGTTCTAAGCCTGGAGGAGAAAAAACACAAAGTTGAAGGTGCAAACCCAGGAGGTTTGCCGCAGCTATTTACTGATCAACGCTGCGGGGAACACGACATTTCATTTTTAGAGCCAGCCAGTGCTCACTGTCGAGGCCTCAAAGGCAGCTTAGTGGAAACTGAGGTTCTGAACCCTCAGCACACAGAGCCGCACCCGTGTGGCGGAGGGAAGCCGGGGAGAGGAGGCACACCTGGAAGATGTTGGGGATGTGGGTGTGGTAGTACTCGTGCTGCTCCTGGTTGAACTTCTGCAGGATGGAGGAGTAGTCGGCTCTGCTGTCCTCGGCCATCTGGTGACGGATCTGAGCCTGCTGCCGTGCCTAGGGTGAAAGGAGAAACCGCACATTCACACGGCACCGAGGAAGCCTCGGACAGCGTGCCAGGATCGGGGTACCTCAGAGTGCTGTGTGAGCAGGTGGGGCTGGTGCCATCTAGCTCCCTAGCCACATATCTACCCATCCATCCATCCCAAGACTCACAGCAATCTGCCTGCCTCAGCCTCCCAAGTGCTGGGATGATAGGCGTGCACCACTATGCCTGGCTGCAGGTGATATTTTTTAAAAAAATGTCTTGGCTGAGCATAGTGGCACACCCCCATTCATCCCAGCAGTTGGGAGGCTGAGGCAAGAGAACTGCTGAGAGTTTGAGGCCAGCCTGAGCTACATAATGAGTTTGAGGCCAGCCTGGACTACATAGTGAGACTCTGTCTCAAGAAAACCAAAAAAAGAGGGCAGGGGATTTAGCTCAGTGGTTCCAGCGAGTGCCTCGCAAGCACAAGGTCCCAAGTTTGATCCCCAGTACCAAAAAACCAGAAAAGACAGGACCTGCTGCTCTCAGGGACCTTTTAAAACATCACCCGGTGACACTGACCCAGCCCGAGTCCTCAGCGCAGAGCCTGCCTGGCTGAGGACAGGGCCTGAAACTGCACTGCACCAAAGCCACCTTGGGTGTGGGCTACATTCCAGACCACTGTGTGGGCTCCGGCCTGTTCGGGTGTCCCTGAGCCAGCCTTACTGAAAGCAGAGACCTGATGGGGAAAAACCACAGGCCGGGCATGGTGGCACACACTTATAAGCCCAGCACTCAGGATGCTGAGGCAGGAGGATCACCTCGAGTTCAAGGCCAGCCTGGGCTAAATAGTGAGAACCTGTGTCAAAAACAACAAAGAAAAGAATGGAAGAAACAGCACAGCAAGCCTGTGCAAACGAAGCGGATAAGCCAGGCACCAGCCGTGGATCCCCTCTGCCTGCCGACAGGTGACATCCAGCGCAGGTGTTTCGTCATCTGGGCTCTCTGCATGGTTCCCACCCCTGTGACTGGGAGGCCTGACCGGCCTCACTTCTGCCTGTGCTGGCTCGGTGCGGGGGCTGGGAACACGGTGGCAGGGTCACTTGGGTCACTTGGCTGCTCCTCACCTGTCTTCTTCCTAATTCACCAGACACTTTCTGGATGCAGGTGGCGACCTGCGGTTCCTGCCGTGTCTCAAGCTGGCTGATGCCCATGGCCCCTCATCCTTAACTGCAGTTTGCCTCCGCGGCCACCCCTTCCCCTACCCTGCCAAATGGACGCCTCCTTGGAGAGTATGCAAATCAGAAGCCTGATGCACGTCCCGTCCTGAGTGCGCTCCCAAGGCCACAGGGTGGGAGGAAGCCGCCCACAGTGGCGCCATCTGTGTCCCCTGTGCTGCCAACGCCAGGACTTGGCTCTCGGCCGCCCTCACTACAGACATTAAGAGAAAAACCCAGGGAATCCCCGCAGACCTCGAACTTCTAAAACACTCCCGCTCGCCCCTTCACACACCTTCCTCAGAAAGGCTCACAAAAACCCGGGGGCGGGAGGGGAACTTCTCTTCCCCCTCCTCTGGAAGGCACCGTGTAAGTAGTGAGGCAGAAAGTTCCTGGATTTACACTGTTCAGTCTCCTTTAGAGAACTTACTTTTCTTTTTTTGTGTGTGTGTGTGTTTTTTGGGGGGTTTTTTTGGTACTGGGGATCAAACTCAGGACTTCCCGCTTGCAAGGCAGGCGGCAGAACCACTGAGCTAAATCCCCGGCCCTTTTGTGTGTGTTTTTAATTTACTTCGTTTGTTTTTCAGACAGGGTCTCGATAGGCAGTTCACACTGGCCTCATACTCGCAACAATCCTCCTGCCTCAGCCTCCTGAGCATAAAACTCTTCGCAGGCCAACCTGGAGATTCTTCCTGCCGGGATCTGTCCTGAGGTCCCAGCAGCACTGGGCAGGAAGGCCATGACCTCCTGCCTGCTGCGTGTGCGCCGGGCCATGTCGCTGGCGGCTCCTAAGAGTGTCCCGATGTCCTCTCACAACAAGGCTGAGCAGTGGCGGGCGGTGGGCGGTGGGCACGGGAGGAGAAGCAGCCGTGTGAGGAACTGAGGGAAGCCGGAGCACAGACAGCCAGCCTCACGCCCTCTGCAGGGACCTGCCAGGCGTCACCTGCCTGTGATGTTTTCTCTGGCGCAAAACCTTGGCCCTCAGCTGGTCAGGGCACAGGGAAGCCAGGAAAGAGGCAAGGCACCGCTGTGCGACAGACCCTGCAAAGCCCAACAGGGAGACCCAAGCGCTTGCTCAGCTCCATCTGCAGCTGCTTTGGATTAAAATCCACTCCCGGCCAGCAGAGTGAGGAATGTGCCCTTGTGCTGAGCAGATTCGCCATGGAAATCTATTTTGGTTTAGAAAGCCCTCCTGTTTATTTTACAACGGAATTCAAGAGTCACTAGTTTCTCGGAGGCAGTTACTCATTATTACAGACACATTTAAAAAAATATCTTAGCGGGGCTGGGGTGGGGGGTTAGCTCAGTGGTTCCGGCACCTGCCTCGCAAGTGGAAGAACCTGAGTTCCATCCCTGGTACCAAAAATAAATAAATAAATCTTAGCCGTGCGTGGTGGAGCACACCAGTCATCCCAGCACTCAGGAGGCTGAGACAGGAGGGTTGTCATGAGTTTGAGGCCAGCCTGGGCTACATATTGAGTTCAAGGCCTGCCTGAACTGCACAGCAAGACCCTGTCTCAAAAAAACAAAAACAACATGGGCCAGGGATTTAGCTCAGTGGCACTGTGCCTGCCTTGCAAGCAAAAGGTCCTGAGTTCGACCCTGGGTACCAAAAACCACCCCCCAAAACCCAAAAACCAACAAAAACAAATTTAAAAATCTTTAAAAGTATTTTCAAAACCAGCAATGACAGGGTGGCAGTTCATTTTACAGAGTGTATCTCCTGATGTCTGAGGCAAGACTGTAAGCATCACAATTTCTCCTCTTGGTGTGAGTCTAAAAATAGCAGCTGTTATCTCAAAGGCCTACGGTATTTCCATCCTAAGCCACAACATATGCTCTTTCTTTAAACCAAATTTCTCATTCTAAAAACAAAGAGAAGCGGCAGCTAGTGCAACATGACGCCAGAGCGGGGATAACGCAGGGTAGGTTTATTTCACTTTTGAAAATGAGTCCGAGTCTCAGAATTCAGAGACGGTGCTCTCAAAGCCCAGAACTGCCCAGGTTGCCGGAGGCTGAGTCACAGACAGCTCAGCCTGCGACGCAAGCAACCACAGTGAACTTCCGAATTTCCTGACGCACCCTCAGGCCCTCAGGTAAAGCGGACGCACGGTGACCCTCCTGCCAGGCCTGGCATGTTCCCCGCACTGCTGGAATCAGGGCTGCACAGCCCCAAAGGTCAGAGTTGCCATATTTTCAAGGGGGGTGTTTCTTTTTTTTGAGACAGGGTCTCACCATGTAGCCCAGGCTGGCCTCAAACTCATGGCTATCCTCCTGCCTCAGCCTCCCAAGGGCTGGGATGACAGGCCTGGAGAGTTGCCCTTTCCAGAGACTGAACTGCAGCCTGAGATTTTAAATCCTAAGGAGTTTAAAGACAAAAATACTGTAATCCATAATCCACTTAGTTTGCTAATTTTAGATGATTTGCATGGCCAAAATGTGACGCTATTTCCTATTTAATTCAGTGTGAGTTTTCCTTTAGTATTTCAAAATACTAAGGAGAAAGCGGCTCTCTGAGGAGTCTGCTCACTTTCTGTGGAGACAGGGGAATCTGCTCACTGAAGTTGGCAAGCCTCGCCTCTTTCCTCAAGGCTGCTTGTTTGAGACAGGGTCCTGTTATGTGGTCTCCCCTGGCCTCAGCCTCCCAAGTGCTAGGACTACAGGCCCATGTGCCACCATGCCTTACTGGTGGCTTTTAACCTTTTTTTTTTTTTGGTACCAGGGATCGAACTCCGGACCTTGTGCTTGTGAGGCAGGCAGCGGAACCACTGAGCTAAATCCCTGCTTTTAACCTTTTAATAAAATTAGCAAATATGAACTGGTTCCATTTATGCTTTGACTGAATACTTAAATGATGAGATTTATAAATTCTTTGAACATGGCCTTGGACCTTAGAATTTTATCCAATGCTGTCCCTTCAATGATAAACTATGCACCAGAGATTTTTTAGAGCTTTCCTTCCTTTGTTAAAAGAATACAACAGTTGGGTGTGGTGACCCAGTGCCTGTGATCCCAGCTGTCTCTGGGAAGCTGAGGCAGGAGGATCGTAGTAGTAGTAGTAGTAGTAGTAGTAGTAGTAGTAGTCCAGCCTGGATAACAGAACTACTAAGCAATACTGTCTCACGTAAAAATATTACAAAGGCCACCTGACTCGCAAGCTCAAGGACCCAAGTTCAATCCCCAGTACCAAAAAAAAAATATTACAAAGGGCTGGGGGCCAGGTGTGCTGGCACATGGTTATAATCTGAGCATTTGGGAGACTGAGGCAGGAGGATTGCTTTGAGTTTGAGGCCAGCCTAAACTACAGAGGGAGACCCTCTCTCAAAAAGAACCAAAACTAGTTGGGGATTTAGCTTGGTGGTTCTGCTGCCGACCTCGCAAGCGCAAGGTCCTGATTTGATCCTTGTACCAAAAAAAAAAAAGAACCAAAACCAAACCAACAATAACAACAAGAAACTCCATGTGCTCCTCAGCATACAGCTAAGGGGGACATTAGTATAGTAAGACACTACTAGTAACGCAGTATTGCTACCTATTTTCTATGTACTTTTCGTTGTTTTTTTTTTTGGATACTTTCTATGTACTTTTCAATCAGAAAAATAGGAAATAACTGAGCATCTCTGAAGCCCTAATGAATATGCCAGATTTCTGCACGGTCTGTCAGTGATTAGGGATCAAACAGATTTTATTTAAGTTTTTGACCCAACAACTCCTCTGAGAATTTATCCTAATGAAATGACTTTGATGTCCACAGAAGGCCCCAGCACAGCGCTGTTTATAAGAGCTAATAATATGAAATAATAATAGGAAACCAA